GGGATTAAGAGATAGTGGCCAGGAGGCAGACTTGAAAAGTGTGCCTTTTGGTTGTTTGAATGATTATATATTCCTGAGTGTTTTGGTTTATATATATATATATAAAAAGCTCAGCAGGAATAGAATCAAATACTGTTGAATGATGATGCATGGAGGGGATTATAATCATTGCAATGAGACAAAATATGATAGGATAAGTGTAAAGCTGATGTTCTCCCATGTAAACTATCACTCAAGTCACAAGAAAAACTTAAAAAAAAAAACTTTCTAATGTTTCCATTACAACTCTTTTGACGCATGAACTATTTAGAAATGCATATATTTTATAAATATACTGGACTTTTATGGATTATTAATGAGATCTAATTGATTTATTATTTTCTTTTATTTTGATAATATACTCTAAGATTTCAATATTTTATAATTAATTCATACTTATTTTTTGAATCCCATATTAACTACTTAGGTGACTATTCAATATGAATTTGAAAAAGATAGCAATTCTGAAGTGTTTGGGTGTTTAATGGTCTCAATGTTATGTCAATTTAGTTGGTAATGTTGTTCAAATATTTTATATCTGTACTGACTTGCTGTCTAATTGATTTGTTCATTATTGAGAGATGGACCTTAGAGGACCCTGTTTGGAAAGCATTTCCTGTGTAAGAGTCTTCCAGTTTCTGGGATATCAAGGAAGAACTTACATGGGAATTGTATTTGTGGGCTTGGGATTCAATGGTGTCTGCAGAGCTTTGAGTTTTAATAACGCTCTAGGTTGTAACTAGGGAGTAGCACAAATGGTTAAGTACTCAACTACCAACCAACAGGTTGGTAGTTTGAAATTACCGAGAATCACTTCAGATGAATGCTCTTGACAGATCACAGTTTGATCACCATGAGTCAGAATCCACTTGGCAACAACTGGTTTGGTTTTTTGTGGGCTGCAGCTTACCAGCTAAAGTTGGCTATGGTTGGCATAGAAACTAGTGATGGGCCTGGGACCTGGAATTCCTTGCTAGCTGATGCACAAGCTCCTAAATGTGCCAGAGAGTTCTAGAACTGGTCATTGAGCAGATCACTATAGAATACAGGTGCTCAGCAAATCAAGGCTGAGGGAAATTCTGTGGGGCATAGGTTAGTTTAGGGCAAGGGACTCTGAGCTAGGCTTGGCCATAATCTCTCATAAAAATGGCCTGGCCTTCCTTCCTAGGCAAGAAAGGCCCTGAACTCTGATGCCAGCTTCTCCCTGGTCCAAGAGAGAAGCAGACAGAGCAACCCCAGACTGTGATTACTGGCTCTGTAGTAAACATTGGTTCCTCATACAACCCTGAGTGACATAAAAGGTTAACATGCTCAGCTGCTATGTGAAAGGTTGGAGATTCGCATCTGCCCAGAAGTACCTTAGCAGTCCTGGTATGATGCTGTGGGATAAAGTACTGGACCTCAAGATCGGTTAGAATCACAACGTCGGCAGATCAAGCTCACCAGCCACTCCTCAGAAACACTAATCAGAGTCGCTATGAGTAGGAACCGACTCAGTGGCACTTAAAATAAGAGGTGCCTTAAGAGAAAAGCCTGTTGATCTGCTTCTGAAAAGTCAGCCATGGAAAGTCCTTTGTATCAAAGTTCGGCTGTGACACACATGGAGTTGCCATGAGTTGGAGTAGACTCATTGGCATCTTTTTTTTCTCCCCTGGGATTCTTGTGCTAGGTAAAGGAGAGTGAAGAAGGCTGGGGAGGGTGTGGCCTACCGAATGTAAGGGTCTAAACACGGAACAGAGCTCTGGTGTGGTGCTGTCGGAAAAGCCCTGGACTGGTAACTTCAAGGTCAGCAGTTCAAGTCACTCTCAGAGACCTTATACAGGGTTGTTGTAAGTCAGAACTGACTCCATGGCACACAGCAACAACAAAACAAAGAACACATACCTTACTTGAAGTAATTTGACTTTCATAGAAAATAGTCCTTGATGGGGAAATTAAATTTAAACAGTGGAGCACAGAAACGTTCCTGAAGGCAATAGAAGGATTCATTTATAAAATGCCTGTAGCCAGAGCTAGGCCATAAGTGGTCCAGCACACCTGTCAGATGCACTGTTTCTTCCATTGCAATTCCTATCTTTTTGCATAGATACAGCCAAGGCACTCAATTAGTTTTAAAACAGGAAAAAATGAAACCAAATTCACAAGTAGTTCTGTTTTCACTTTCCTGTCATTAACACTCAAGGTTTAATAACTTTCTGGATTTCATCATGAGTGTCCCTGTCTCATTTTAAGCATAGTTGGTGTTATCAGTCTTCTTATTTGCATTTCTCTTCTCATGTAGGAGATGTGTCTTCTGGGGCCTTTCATGACAGGTGATATGTGAACAAGCAAAGGAGGACATCTGGGTAGGACAGCTTTGGGTCTCCTGAATTCTCAGCCTTGGGGCTTGTGTTCAGAGGTTCCAACTATGGGATGGGCAGGTGAAGTGGAAAAAAAAAAAACAAAACTCTCCGTTTACAGGCTTTGAGAAAGTTTTTCCCTGTCACTCTTGGCTAACTCTCAGCAACCCACCTCCACCCCACACAACTACTGCCCGGGGTTAAATGTGGGCGAGTTGATGAGTTTTGACATCTGTTTAGTTGGGTGCTTGTTATAAGCAACTGTCCGTTCTCAGTGGATTTCTATTGGCTTCACTAACTATCTACTCATTTTCTCAGCACCTTCTGTTGCAGCTCCACTTAGTTAGCTGGGAAATTAGTCAGTTCTCTTGATGACTTTAAGCATAATTGTTACGTTAAGCACTGTTGAGTGGTTTCCAACCCATAGTGACCCTGTATAGGGTTTCCGAGGAGCAACTGATAAGCTTGAATTGCCAACCTTGCTGTTCAAACTGACTTTGCAGTCTAGCGCATTAAACCCATAGCACCACGCCAGGACTCTTAAGTAAATTGTTGTTAAGTACCATGGAGTCAGTTCTAACTCATAGTGACCCTGCACAGGGTTTCCGAGGCTGTAAATCTTTACAGGATCAGAAAGCCTCATCTTCTCCTGCATAACACTGGTAGTTCTGAACTGCCAACCTTGAGGGTAGCAGCCAGATTCGTAACCACTGCACTACCAGAGCTCCTTCTTAAGTATAAGTTGTTGTTGTTGTTGTTATGTGCTGTCGAGTCGGTTCCGACCCATAGCGACCCTGCACAGGGTTTCTGAGGGTGTAAATCTTTACGGGAGTAGAATGCCTCATCTTTCTCCCGCGGAGCAGCTGGTAGTTTCGAACCGCTGACCTTAAGGTTCGCAGCCCGATTCGTAACCACTACGCTACCAGAGGCGCGTAGGAATTGTTAAATCTGATTTTTGCCATTGGGGGTGCAGTTATAGAATTTTTGCATTCCATTTCGGGCCAGTATAATTCATGAGCAGCCACTCCTTGATATTTGAGGCTTGTGTTTTCTATGATGCTGAATAGGTTTCATTGAAGCTTCCAGATTAAGACAGACTAGCAAGAAAGCCCTGGATACCTAGTCATGATAATCGATGAAAACTCTATGAATCACCATGGTCTGATCTGCAACTAATCATGGGAATGGCACAAGACCAGACAGCTTTCGTTCTGTTGCGTACTGAGTTGGGGGCCATCTCATTGGCAGCTAACAAGAGTAACTTTTGATTTACGCTTGAAACCATCTCCCAGACTCACCCTTTTCATTTCAGTCTTATGGCCACTTTTGGCCAGCTCATATCTAGATGTCCTAGCTGCTACTCCTGCCTCAACTCTAGTTCCCATTCTTTAAGACTGGTCATGCCCAGTCTCAGAATGAGTACCACTTTCCTCACATTGCTGCTAATTATCAACCTTCATTCTACCTACATCTTAATTCCTGTGCCGTGTAAACTAACTTAGTTGCAAGTTCTAGGCTGAGGACACGAGCATCCTTGGAGGACCAGTACCTACACATACCTAGCCAAATGCAAGTACTGTAACTACTTTGTTTCTCTTGAACCTCTGAACAATTTTACATATAGGGGACCTCAGACTTTGGAAGTGCCTTAGCAAGAAGGTAGTAGGATCAGGACTCAATTTCAGCTTTCTATTTTGTTATCTGGGCCTCTGTCTATAACAGTGCATCATCCCTCTTATCTCAGGAGAAAAGAAAGACTAGCTGACTTTCAAATTCCTCCTTCATATGCCTTACCTGCCCTATTTATAAAGTGGTTCACTCCACTCTTCGTGGCGGCATCCTCATAAGCCCATGGATGTGTCATACTTATTTCCAGCTCTGCATGTTTGTTCTTGCTGTCCCTACCTTCTCACCTCTTTTCCCACAATAATACTCTCCTAATTATTGGAGTCCTGGTGTGACGTTGTAGGATACGCACTGGACTGGTAGTCACAAGTTCAGTTGTTTAAACCCAACAATCACTCCTCAGAAACCATATATAGGACCACTGTGAGTTGGAACTGACTCAGTGACATTTAACTTCCGTTTACCTAGATGCAGTGGCTAGCTCTTCATACAGGTCTCCAGTCTCTCCATGCACTCGTGCTCACATTGTCTCTCAGAATTCCTGTGGAGCATGTAGTTAGTACTGTTCAGTTGATAATTCTTAAATTATTGCCTGTATATTAGTTTCATCTACTGTCCGATGCGGTCAAAGGTTCCAGTTATTGAGGACATACTAAATACTAGGCCCTTTTCTGGGAGTCACTCATTAATTCCTTAATGCAGCTTGGAGCTAGGCATTAATAGTCCATCTTATGTGTTGGAAATCTGAAGCTCAGGGAGATTAAATTAGTATTCAGATTTCACTGTTAATGAGTAATGAAATTAGGATGGGACCTGGTGCACACAGTGAAGTGCTCAATAAATAGTACATGTGGATTTGACCACACGCTCTGTGTTTTCAACATGGGTGTCATGAGGCCAAATCTTTTGATGTCTATTTATTTCATTCTCCCAGAATGGTATACATAGACTTGAAGCATCAAGGTGATTGAGCCATGCTTTTCTTTTGCATTTCAGGACGTCAAAACCGAGTGTTGATAATGAAAGAAGGTATAGCCTGGAGAATGACGTTACCTTGGCCAAGACACTTCAGCAATACCTTCCATATCTGGGGGTCCTGTCCCAGGCCACGGCTTCAAATGTGTACCCGAGGACGAAGAATGACAAACCACCAATTAAGGTCAAAAACTGTAACTTACATTTTATGATCTAAGTTTGTCTCTTACTTGGCTCTGCACAGTTTTCCTCAGGGTGCAGATACTTATGAATGTTTCATAAATCTTCAGCTTCTCTTGATTTAACTCCTTTATCCCATGCTAATGGAACAATAGTGAAGAGCTGAGTTGCATGGTGAGAGGTGCTCATGGCGTCCCTTCTAGTGCCACATACACTTCCATGTCTAACAATGTGGCTGACCCTCCATGTAGGAGGTCCACCTGTTGTAAGAAGTAAGCCAATTAATTTCCCAAGACACCCTTGCGACTAAGAGCCATTACATTGTCTTTAGGGTTGTAATTCTTGAAAGTTCACTGTTAAAAATATAAACATAACATTTGGGAGGCAAAACAGACTATCACCCTTTATATTAAGGACAGTGCATTCACTGTCTACAACCCAGGAAAGATAAAACCTTAGGGCGTTAAAGCAATGGACACTCAGGATTGATGAGTGAGAGAGGACAAAAGAACCCTGGAATTGTCTAGAATTGGTAGGCATAGGGTGACCAACTATTCCAGTTTTCTCAAAATTGTCCTGGATTTTCCACTCAAAGTCTTGGGTCCCAGGAAACATCTTAGTTCCAGTCAAGCCCTGGGACTCTGTGTCTGCATGAGAAGCAGCAGATTTGGCTTCCCCTGAATAGACAGGAGATACACAGATGTTGAAAGAGAAATGGTTAGAAACTTTTATCCAGGCTAGGCCTAACTGCTCTAATCTTTAAAAGATCAGTTTATACTAATGCAAAATCTGCCCGAGAGCCATTTCAGAATGTGACACTTAGCCAATGGAGTATTTTTAAGAAGCAGAATTAGAACTGTCCATGAACTTTTTAAATGTATGAGTGTCAGGATTTTCATGACCACTGCTTAAGCAGAACTGTCAGATTCTGATTTGTCTGGAACAGGAGTGAGATGGGTGCTATAAGAGTTATCTTCAGACTCTGAGAACCATTATCCGTTTTGTGGATAGACTTATGGGGAAAGCATGAAGTCCAGATGATCTGCGTGTGCTGGAAACCTGGCACCTGTACTTCACATTGTGTTTTGTTTTTTGGCAAAGCGTTAGTTACCATCACTAAAATTTTTTTTCTTTCTTAGATGAAAGCCAAGCTCTTATAAGACTGATAGACATTTGGGGAATTCTTTTAGGTTCTTTTAAAAGCTAAAAGATATACCAGGATTTCATCAGAAGATAGTTACGGCCCTCAGTAAATACCTGGGAGGCAATATAGGCCAATTGAAAAAAAATTCCTTTAATCAAGAGGTTAAAAATTTATGTTGTCAATTCTGGGCATATTAGGCAACAAACACAATGAGATGATACACTTCTGACCAGGGTTGTTTTAGGATCTTAGTGGAATACTTTATAAAACAGAAGTACATATTTCCATAAAAGAATGCTGCAAACCACAAACTGAGGTTGAGTATGATGTGGGCTTTATTAAGAGGCTGGTTCTATATCTTAAGAGTAAGTACCCGAGAAAGATCAAGATCTAAAGTGCAAAGTGTTCTCTTGAATGCCTTGTGGAAAGATTCTTCTTAGCTATGTTTATCCATCCAACCTCATACTTGATTAGGAGACATTTAGTGTTGATGCTTGATCATAATGAATATCATTGCCCCATGCCACAAGAATACAGAATTCAAAACCGACCCAGGGCATTTACTAAGGCCACACTCTGTTCCGCAGTCCCAGAAAACCATGCTCAGGAGGTTGAAATGGATTCTTCTATGGGAAGTTGGACATTCTACCCAGCGACAATACTTCCATATTTAGGTTTTCCCTCAGTAAAGAAGCAACACTGACATGATCCCTTTGGAATATCTGCTTGGAATATTCCATGGTCCCCATGGGAATTTGTTTGCCTGTTTTGTGGAAGTTACCTCTAATGGTGAGGTGCAGGGTCAGTCCTCACAGAATTACACCAGTAATGAGGTCTCCTGCCCTCTAAAGTAGACATTAGGAAAATGTACTAAGGATCCCAGCACCACATTTCACCAAGCTAGTCCGTTTGCCAGTTTGAAAAAATACATTTTAAAGCCTTTCCATGTGATTTACTAGCAAACATCTAAACACCATCTTTTTTCCTATTGCAAGCTGGCTGGTTGGTTTAATACTATTTTTATCAATGTTAACATTAAATTTGAGATTTTTCTATTTTGCATTTTTTTCTTGAGCCAAGGGCACTAAAGATGAATCACATGTGGATTTTTTCTTTAGGGAAATCAGTGAAGTGTACATATGGGAGGTGAGATAAGATGTGCCAGGTAAATTCTGGGACCACTTCTGAACCTTGCTCCTCCACCAACACTATGACCATTAACAGGACCATTGTTTAGTCTCCCTGCCCTTCAGGTCCCTCAGCTACAAAGCTGGGTGATAGTAGTCATGATTACTTTGAAGATTAAACAAGAAAACTCTTGGCAACGTGTTCAATAAATATCAATTATTATACTACTGTTAATAATATTATTAAAATAATCATTCAAAGGTGAAATGAAAATAATGCCAAGAGTCTGAAAACCATTCCGTGGACTCTTAGTGGAGTTCACTTACTCTACAAAGAGAAATTGGAGAAAAACAACTGTACTTGTAAAACAAATTTAATCAATATAACCCAGTGCCTTAGAATACCAAGAAGCAGCAGGCTGCTATTCCAACCATAATGCAATGCAATACAGATTTCATTTGTTTATTTCACGGCACAGTGGAAAACCAACATCTCTCCCAATTCTCTTGAATATTGGTAATTTAAGTACATAGAAATATAAAATCATCTTTTTGTCTTCCTCCTTTGTCCCCTGTTGTGTCTTTATCAAAAGGGATAGGACGCTTCATGCTCAGTCTTTACTACTGCTATAGGATTGCTGGCCTTCTGTAATGGAGACATCACATCATGCCCCTAGGTGCTAGATGTGAATAATCAATAAATAGCAACCTGTGTGAAGTCCAGAGATGGTTTTAGTAATATAAGTGGTAAGGGAAAGACAGTCATTAAAAGTTCCAGAGTCTCAGAAGAAGTTTGAATGAAAGAAAATCAGTTGAAATTTCTCTGTGAATTATAGAGACATGTTTTTCCCCTAGCTTAATGGGGATATTACGCTAACCTAGACTTAATGTCCACAGTGCCATCTTCATCTGCTGCAGAAATAGACTAGAGAATGCATGTACACTCTGAGGAACAGCCAGAACGTACTGCTTGTTAAGTGCCATTGAGCCAGTTCCTACACATAGTAAACCTGCCTGTATAGGGTTTCTGTCAACCTTGTGGTTAACAATCTAGTCCTGATGCCACGGTGCCACACCAGGACTCCAGTTGTGCACCTCAGAGAAAATAATGAAGCAACTAACAACAACAACAACAACATCTAAAACGAAAAGACTCAAATATACAACAGAATTTGGTCCCTGGACAAGAAGTGGCATGAAATTGACCAGCTTTCTGAACAGTGCTTTAAAAGAGATTCCCATTGACTCTATACCAGGCTCTCTTGTTGTTAGCAACCCAATCTAAGGTAAAATGAGCACGTGTGCCCTTCAGGTATTAAAAAACCACTACAGAAAGTTGTAGAAGTTTGATAAAAGTGGAAATCTTTAGTGGAATATTGAGCCATTCAAGTTATGAGCCATTGGGAAGATTCTTGGTAAAACCAAGTAACCATAGTAACTCATGTGGGGAAAAGCAAGTTCCTATAGAAGATACAGGAGTCCCAGTGTGGCACTGCAGGACAATACACTGGACTGCAAGGTCGGTCTGAACTTCAGACTCACTGGCTCAAACCTACCAGCCACTTCTTGAAAACCCTATACAGAGTTGGAACCAACTCAACGGCACTTAATAACAACAGAAGATACATGTGTGGCTTCTAAAATGGCTCTTGGGATATTCAGTATGTCCTCAGAACCTCTTGAAGTGGGTAAATAATTCTACTAGGTCCTTATCAGCTGGACACTACATCTAATGCCAAAGGTGGGGGAAGGGGCGATGAATACTACAAAATCAGTAGTATTTACAGAAGAGTCTTTCCATCCTGATTTACATATATTGTGGTTCTAATACCAGAAATCTGAAAACTGATTTTCAGGATTGTTCTCACAGCAGTCTTACCTGTACTGGAAAGACAGTGTGACCTGATGTCTTTGCACTAGAGCATTCTTTCCTTCAGAAGCTTATCATTGGGCTCTTGGGGGACAGTGAAGTCTTATGTTTTGCCCCATTGTTTCTGGTCTCCTCTCTAGAGTTGCTAATAGGAGTGGGAGAGGAATGAGAGCTTGTTGTTGCATGTGTCCCTCACTCCCTGCTCTACTTGCAATGGCAAGACAGAGAAATGGGAAAAGAAAGGACACTGGTCTTATGAAACATTTCATTCAGCAATTATTTTCTACCATCTATTAAACTTGACTTCTGGAATCTTTAAAACCTCCACTTAGTAGTATGATCATACATGATGGCTTGCCTAGGACAATGCTGACTTTATGTCTATTGACCCAGCATAATTATTAATAGGACACTCTTTCCACTTCAAAAATGACCCAGTTTGTCTAGCATGAGTATAAAATGAACCAACTGAGAAGTAGGAGGGGCAATTTCAGTGACATCAAAGAAGAGTCAGAAGAGGAGCACATCCTTTGGGCTCTGAGATCCCTGCACCTAGAATATCCTCGACCCAAGGACAGAAAGCTGTGACGCCAGAGTGGCAAAGGAGGATCGGCAGCAGAACGAAGATCAGAGCACAAGACAGAACAATGATCTTCCCAGGTCACAGAGAAAGTGAAACTGAGTGCCCATTAGCAGGGGACTGGCTTATAGACTGCAGTGTTAGGGTTACCCACAGAGCTAAAGCCAGATGGCTCCAGGCTGAGGCTTGTGTTGGAAGGCTGTGTCCTGTGGCTATTTATCAGCAGCTGACTGGAACAACGGTAACCTAAACATTTCTGATCCTATATGGTAACTTGTTAACT